GTGTTACCCCTTACGTTTTTTTTCATTTTTGGGCGAAAAATTAAGTTTCTCCAATCTTCTCAAAACTCTGGATTATGATAGAGGGCTGTGAGACTTTGACCTGAGTGCAAAAATGGAGGCTCTAGACCCTTCCAGAGCTGAGATATCGAAATTCAAAATTTCGACCCGAAAAAAAAAACGACAGTGTTACCCCTTACGTTTTTTTTTCATTTTTGGGCGAAAAATTAAGTTTCTCCAATCTTCTCAAAACTCTGGATTATGATAGAGGGCTGTGAGACTTTGACCTGAGTGCAAAAATGGAGGCTCTAGACCCTTCCAGAGCTGAGATATCGAAACTCAAAATTTCGACCCGAAAAAAAAACGACAGTGTTACCCCTTTCGTTTTTTTCATTTTTGGGCGAAAAATTAAGTTTCTCCAATCTTCTCAAAACTCTGGATTATGATAGAGGGCTGTGAGACTTTGACCTGAGTGCAAAAATGGAGGCTCTAGACCCTTCCAGAGCTGAGATATCGAAACTCAAAATTTCGACCCGAAAAAAAAAACGACAGTGTTACCCCTTACGTTTTTTTCATTTTTGGGCGAAAAATTAAGTTTCTCCAATCTTCTCAAAACTCTGGATTATGATAGAGGGCTGTGAGACTTTGACCTGAGTGCAAAAATGGAGGCTCTAGACCCTTCCAGAGCTGAGATATCGAAACTCAAAATTTCGACCCGAAAAAAAAACGACAGTGTTACCCCTTACGTTTTTTTTCATTTTTGGGCGAAAAATTAAGTTTCTCCAATCTTCTCAAAACTCTGGATTATGATAGAGGGCTGTGAGACTTTGACCTGAGTGCAAAAATGGAGGCTCTAGACCCTTCCAGAGCTGAGATATCGAATTTCAAAATTTCGACCCGAAAAAAAAACGACAGTGTTACCCCTTACGTTTTTTTTCATTTTTGGGCAAAAAATTAAGTTTCTCCAATCTTCTCAAAACTCTGGATTATGATAGAGGGCTGTGAGACTTTGACCTGAGTGCAAAAATGGAGGCTCTAGACCCTTCCAGAGCTGAGATATCGAAATTCAAAATTTCGACCCGAAAAAAAAACGACAGTGTTACCCCTTACGTTTTTTTTCATTTTGGGCGAAAAATTAAGTTTCTCCAATCTTCTCAAAACTCTGGATTATGATAGAGGGCTGTGAGACTTTGACCTGAGTGCAAAAATGGAGGCTCTAGACCCTTCCAGAGCTGAGATATCGAAACTCAAAATTTCGACCCGAAAAAAAAACGACAGTGTTACCCCTTACGTTTTTTTTCATTTTTGGGCGAAAAATTAAGTTTCTCCAATCTTCTCAAAACTCTGGATTATGATAGAGGGCTGTGAGACTTTGACCTGAGTGCAAAAATGGAGGCTCTAGACCCTTCCAGAGCTGAGATATCGAAATTCAAAATTTCGACCCGAAAAAAAAACGACAGTGTTACCCCTTACGTTTTTTTCATTTTTGGGCGAAAAATTAAGTTTCTCCAATCTTCTCAAAACTCTGGATTCTGATAGAGGGCCACGAGACTTTGACCTGAGTGCAAAAATGGAGGCTCTAGACCCTTCCAGAGCTGAGATATCGAAACTCAAAATTTCGACCCGAAAAAAAAACGACAGTGTTACCCCTTACGTTTTTTTTCATTTTTGGGCGAAAAATTAAGTTTCTCCAATCTTCTCAAAACTCTGGATTATGATAGAGGGCTGTGAGACTTTGACCTGAGTGCAAAAATGGAGGCTCTAGACCCTTCCAGAGCTGAGATATCGAAATTCAAAATTTCGACCCGAAAAAAAAAACGACAGTGTTACCCCTTACGTTTTTTTCATTTTTGGGCGAAAAATTAAGTTTCTCCAATCTTCTCAAAACTCTGGATTATGATAGAGGGCTGTGAGACTTTGACCTGAGTGCAAAAATGGAGGCTCTAGACCCTTCCAGAGCTGAGATATCGAATTTCAAAATTTCGACCCGAAAAAAAAACGACAGTGTTACCCCTTACGTTTTTTTCGTTTTCGGGCGAAAAATTAAGTTTCTCCAATCTTCTCAAAACTCTGGATTCTGATAGAGGGCTGTGAGACTTTGACCTGAGTGCAAAAATGGAGGCTCTAGACCCTTCCAGAGCTGAGATATCAAACTCAAAATTTCGACCCGAAAAAAAAACGACAGTGTTACCCCTTACGTTTTTTTCATTTTTGGGCGAAAAATTAAGTTTCTCCAATCTTCTCAAAACTCTGGATTATGATAGAGGGCTGTGAGACTTTGACCTGAGTGCAAAAATGGAGGCTCTAGACCCTTCCAGAGCTGAGATATCGAAACTCAAAATTTCGACCCGAAAAAAAAAACGACAGTGTTACCCCTTACGTTTTTTTCATTTTTGGGCGAAAAATTAAGTTTCTCCAATCTTCTCAAAACTCTGGATTCTGATAGAGGGCACTGAGACTTACACCTGAGTGCAAAAATGGAGGCTCTAGACCCTTCCAGAGCTGAGATATCGAAACTCAAAATTTCGACCCGAAAAAAAACGACAGTGTTACCCCTTACGTTTTTTTTTTTTGGGCGAAAAATTAAGTTTCTCCAATCTTCTCAAAACTCTGGATTCTGATAGAGGGCACTGAGACTTTGACCTGAGTGCAAAAATGGAGGCTCTAGACCCTTCCAGAGCTGAGATATCGAAACTCAAAATTTCGACCCGAAAAAAAAACGACAGTGTTACCCCTTACGTTTTTTTTTTTTGGGCGAAAAATTAAGTTTCCCCAATCTTCTCAAAACTCTGGATTCTGATAGAGGGCACTGAGACTTACACCTGAGTGCAAAAATGGAGGCTCTAGACCCTTCCAGAGCTGAGATATCGAAACTCAAAATTTCGACCCGAAAAAAACGACAGTGTTACCCCTTACGTTTTTTTTTTTGGGCGAAAAATAGTAGTTTCCCAATCTTCTCAAAACTCTGGATTCTGATAGAGGGAACTGAGACTTACACCTGAGTGCAAAAATGGAGGCTCTAGACCCTTCCAGAGCTGAGATATCGAAACTCAAAATTTCGACCCGAAAAAAAAACGACAGTGTTACCCCTTACGTTTTTTTTTTTTGGGCGAAAAATTAAGTATCCCCAATCTTCTCGAAACTCTGGATTCTGATAGAGGGCACTGAGACTTACACCTGAGTGCAAAAATGGAGGCTCTAGACCCTTCCAGAGCTGAGATATCGAACTCAAAATTTCGGACGACAGTGTTACCCCTTACGTTTTTTTTTTTTGGGCGAAAAATTAAGTATCCCCAATCTTCTCGAAACTCTGGATTCTGATAGAGGCACTGAGACTTACACCTGAGTGCAAAAATGGAGGCTCTAGACCCTTCCAGAGCTGAGATATCGAAACTCAAAATTTCGACCCGAAAAAAACGACAGTGTTACCCCTTACGTTTTTTTTTTTTTTGGTGAAAATTAAGTATCCCCAATCTTCTCAAAACTCTGGATTCTGATAGAGGGCACTGAGACTTACACCTGAGTGCAAAAATGGAGGCTCTAGACCCTTCCAGAGCTGAGATATCGAAACTCAAAATTTCGACCCGAAAAAAAAACGACAGTGTTACCCCTTACGTTTTTTTTTTTTTGCGAAAAAATTAGTTTCCCAATCTTCTCGAAACTCTGGATTCTGATAGAGGGCACTGAGACTTACACCTGAGTGCAAAAATGGAGGCTCTAGACCCTTCCAGAGCTGAGATATCGAAACTCAAAATTTCGACCCGAAAAAAAAACGACAGTGTTACCCTTACGTTTTTTTTTTTGGGCGAAAAATTTAGTTTCCCCAATCTTCTCGAAACTCTGGATTCTGATAGAGGGCACTGAGACTTACACCTGAGTGCAAAAATGGAGGCTCTAGACCCTTCCAGAGCTGAGATATCGAAACTCAAAATTTCGACCCGAAAAAAAAAACGACAGTGTTACCCCTTACGTTTTTTTTTTTGGGCGAAAAATTAAGTTCCCAATCTTCTCGAAACTCTGGATTCTGATAGAGGGCACTGAGACTTACACCTGAGTGCAAACATGGAGGCTCTAGACCCTTCCAGAGCTGAGATATCGAAACTCAAAATTTCGACCCGAAAAAAAAAACGACAGTGTTACCCCTTACGTTTTTTTTTTTTGGGCGAAAAATTTAGTATCCCCAATCTTCTCGAAATTCTGGATTCTGATAGAGGGTACTGAGACTTACACCTGAGTGCAAAAATGGAGGCTCTAGACCCTTCCAGAGCTGAGATATCGAAACTCAAAATTTCGACCCGAAAAAAAAAAACGACTTGCTGGCAACCGTCCTGCCAGTTCTGTAAAAATACAAGAAAACACAGGATGCTCACCGGAAATGACTCTAACATGAATGCATGCATTGATTGATTCCTAGGTTTATTTTTTTATGAATAAACAAATGTGCAATATATAAAGGAAAAACCTTATGATTAAAGTTGTAATGTTAATATTCAAGTTTTCGTTCTAAAAAAAGAAAGATGCACACAGAAAATGACTCCAATATGACCAGATTGATTGATTGAAATTTATTTAGTTTGTTACAAACAATGTGCAATCTGTAAAACAAAAACCTCAAAATTATAGTTGAAATGGTATACTGCTGGAATTTTTTTGACCTTGAGAAAAAGCTTAAAGTATAGACCAACAAATTTTATGTATATTAATTTATTTCATGCCGGTACATTTTTGGGAAGTACACCTGTTTTGACCTGATGTTCATTGGAATGGACAAAAAAAAATCACAATGAAACCTCATGAGCTGGGAAAATGTACTTTTATATTTTTCAGAAACTTGAAACATAATTCAGGTCTGAGAGGGTTAATTGTAAAAAGGACAATATCAGATAATATATAATACATTTAAGAACTTTAAATAGGCTTTTAAAACGACTTCAAACTTTCTGGCTAGGATTTTTTTAAGCCAACTTAAAGTTTGTCTGCATACTTGTTTGAGCTGATCTAAAGCAGTGACCTCTGTGACCTCTCCAGAGTCCAGCTCATGCAGTACGTCATCTACGGCATCGCCTCCTTCTTCTTCCTGTATGGCATCATCCTCCTCGCCGAGGGCTTCTACACCACCAGCGCCGTGAAGGAGCTCCACAACGAGTTCAAGACCACGGTGTGCGGACGCTGCATCAGTGGGATGGTACGACACACTTCCCAGTTTTTTCTGGGAACGAACACGTCACAATATTCCTCAGTTAGGTCATTTTGACCTGAAAATTGAGTGTTCATCAGTGGGTCCTGGAATTTTGTCGCACTTGCACCACAATTCAAACTAAAAATGCTAAAACTTTACCCAAAAATATTTTATAATGTCTACACATGTGTGTGAATGCACACTGAAGAGAAACTGGCTTTAGGACCCAGCGGAACAGCGGCTCCATATAGAGAAATAAGCCCATTTAGAGTCATGAAATATCATGTGTTATTATTATTATTCCACAAGAGGGCAAAGACTCCCGATGGAAGATATTTAGAGCCAAATTAAAAGAGTTATGCATGAAATTGTGTTTAAGTTGTAAGATTGTGAGGAATGTTCTTAAAATACTATTTATTTATTCTGTAAGGTAAATAATCTTAACAAAAAAATGCATTAAAAATAGAAAAAAATATTATCAATATGAAATAAAATAAGCTTTCTGGACAAAAAAAAAAAAAAAAGTATAATTTTAGGCCTTTGGGTCATTTTGACCCGCGAGAGAAAGATGAGGGTTAAATAATTAATGCGCAGAATAAAGGGGCGGGGCCTGGTTGAGTTAGTTAGTAGTGTGTTAAAGGGGCGGGACATTTCCCAAACACACTCGAAGCGCTTGACCAATCACAACACACTGCTCCAGCCGACCAATCAGAGCTCAGTGTGCTTTCAGGAGGAGGGGCTTCATAGAGACAGGAAGTAAACAGAGCGTTACTGACAGACTGGGAAGAGAGGAGCCGCAACAATGGAGAATATGAGGAGAATAATCAACATTCACGCAGGAAAACCTGTTCTAGGAGAGCCTGAACACATCACGACTTTATAAAGGGAAACCATTCTAGTTATTGTCTTTTTAATGTCTGGATGATATTACGGTAAATGTCACCTTTTAAACTAAGGCTTTAATCAACACAATGATCATAAATACAGTAAAACAGTGAAATATTATTCCAGTGTAAATCATCTGAATATACAGTAAAGTGTAATTTATTCCTGAATGACTCCAGTGTTCAGTGTCACATGATGTCACATGATGTTTGTTGATTGTTAATGGTCTCTCTCCCAGTTCGTGTTCCTGACGTACATCCTGGGAATCGCGTGGCTCGGTGTCTTCGGCTTCTCGGCGGTTCCCGTGTTCCTGTTCTACAACATGTGGTCGACCTGCGCCGCCATGCGCTCTCCGGTGGCCAACCTCACGTCCATCGACAGCATCTGTGTGGATGTGCGTCAGTACGGTACGGAAACGCTGTCAAATCACGCCAATATGGCGTTTTACTTATTATGTTTACTCATGTTTACTTCTGGGGAAGTTCATGTAAGACAAATCTGCACAGATTTAGCGCAAAATCCTCATGATATATTAAATACAGCGTACTGCAGAATCTGCTCATTTTTGGCTTGAACACACACGTCACTATACAACACATAACGGCATGCTTGTTCACTTGCGTTGAAGTAATAGCGAATATTAAAAAGCATTTGGTGAACAGAAAACACATTTTTATCATCCAGCATCCGACATGTTCTGTGTGCTGTACTGATCTGTCCACATAAACACATGAAACAAAACCTAAAATTATATATTTAGAACTTTTGCACAATATTACAATTTTTCGACTTTCACCTGTAATCTACGGAGGCATATTGCATTCACTTGAAGAAAAAAAATCTACTTTGTTTTTCTGAATTAACGAGTTAATTTTTCGTGTGAAAAAAATGTTTTGCTCTGTTTTTTTGAATTAATGAAGTGAATTTTTCATGGATATATTTTTTTTTGCTCTGTTTTTCTGAATTAACGAGTTCATTTTCATGGATTTTTTTTTTTTTGCTCTGTTTTTCTGATTTAACGAGTTCATTTTTCATGGATTTTTTTTTTTTTTTGCTCTGTTTTTTCTGAATTTAACGAGTTCATTTTTCATGGATTTTTATTTTTTTTGCTCTGTTTTTCTGAATTAACGAGTTCATTTTTCATGGATTTTTTTTTTTTTTTTGCTCTGTTTTTCTGAATTAACTTGTTAATTCAGAAAAACAGAGCAAAAACTTTTTTTCACACGAAAAATTAACTCGTTAATTCAGAAAAACAGAGCAAAACCTTTTTTTCTCATGAAAAATTAACTCGTTAATTCAGAAAAACAGAGTCGATTTTTTTTTTTCTTCAAGTGAATGCAATACGCCTCCGTAGTAATCTAGTTTATTAATTTATTAATACATTTTTTTTTTCGGCCAGTAGAAGTTCTGAATGGCCGGTAACGACTTGCGTTGCATTTAAGGTTTACATTTAATCAATTCAGGCATTTCCTGGAAATCAATGCAGTGTGTGTGTGATCGTTGACTGTGTGTGTGTGTCGGAATAGGGATTATCCCATGGAACGCCACACCAGGGAAAGCTTGCGGCTCAACGCTAGGTGACATCTGCAACACCAGTGAGGTATGAACACACATCTCTGCAGCGGTAGATATGCATGATAACACACTTGATAACACACATGTATGCATGATCTTCTGCTTGTGTGTGCAGTTCTACCTGTCCTACCATCTGTATATCGTGGCGTGTGCCGGAGCCGGAGCGACCGTCATTGCTCTGGTAAGCACATGTTTCTCGTATGATCGCATATTAATGAGGTGTTTGTTCCTATTCCTCCTCTTTTTTTGTCCCTTCATTCCCAGCGCCATCTACTGCAAACCATGTGCTTAAGCCCCCTCTCGAATGTTAGTTTGAGGAGCCGTGGGTTGCGTTTCTGCAGAATAATGCATGATTTGTGCTGTGAGAGCGTTAGATATTTTACTTTATTTTCCAATATTTATTCACATGCTTAATTGAGACATTGCAACTTAAGACAACAGATTTAACGCCACGAAACTAGACCAGTCCCATTATAATCAGTAAAGCTGTCTACACTGGAAGCGTCTGGTGTCGCGTTACACCTTCAGTTCACAGACAGACTGTTTATATCAGTGACACATTGCACAACTACAGCTCACTGGTAGATTATTATTATTACTAAAAAGTTTTTATTACTTAGTATTTTATTTTTATTTATTTTATTGAATTTTATTTCAATTTTGTGTATTTTAATTGTATTATTTCTCTAATTTTTTTTGATTAATTTTATTTTAATTTTGTGTATTTTAATTTATTATTTCTTTATTTAATTTAATTTAATTTTAATGATGTGTATTTTAATTGTATTATTTATTTATTTCATTTAATTTAATTTTAATGTTGTGTATATTAATTATATTATTTCTTTATTTAATTTAATTTAATAATTGTATTATTTCTTATAAATAAATTTCAATTAAGTAAAATTTAATACAAAAATAATTAAATTAAAATACACAAAATTAAAATTCAATTAGATAACGAAATAATACAATTAAATAAGCTAAATGAATAAATGTTAATGTAGAATAAAATAATTAACTTTATTATTTCATTATTTAATTAATTTTATTTTAATTTTGTTGTGTTTTAATTTTATTTATTTTATAAATTGTATTTATTTCTTTTGTAATTTTGTGTATTTAAATTTTATTTCTTTAATTCAATAAATTAAATAATTTTTATTTTATATAATTTTTTTTGTTACAAATATTCTTTTCACCGAATTTTATTTGTAGTGTATTTTTTTAATGTTGAAATATTTAAATAATTTCTGACATTAATTCAAAGCAACTCGTACGGAAGAGGATTAGGGCCAAGCAATAATTAAAAAATAAAACAATCTCGAGATTAAAGTTAATATAATGCGAGAAAAAATGTAAAAAATAAAAATAATAAAAATAAAAATAATAAAGTAAAATTTCGAGAAAAAAGTAGAAATATAATCTTGAGAATAAACTCATTAAATATCGACATTTTGAGGGGTTTTTTCTCGCAGCACGACTTTTTTCTCGAAATTTAATGAGTTTATTCTCAAGATTATGTTTTGACTTTCTCGAAATTTAACGAGTTTAATTTCGCATTATAATGACTTCAATCTCGAGATGGTTTTATTTTTTTATTATTGCTTGGCCCTAATCCTTTTCCGTAAACTCTTGATGGTCTTTAACTACTAATTGAAATATTTTTCTAAACTGTGTGTGCGTATATAAATGCATTTGCATATATTTGCATACTAACATTATTTTGCTATTCTAAATAACCCATGCAAAGTCGCTTGCAGTGTCGACAGTGTAATCTCACTTATTTCATCAATAGTCAAACTATTCTTTATTATCTCATATCTGTGCTTTCTCTTCCACCAGCTCATCTACATGATGGCTACCACATATAACTTTGCTGTTTTGAAGTTTAAGAGTCGAGAGGACTGCTGCACTAAATTTTAACGCAGTTTCATCAAAGTGCCTAGACTGAGCAGCCACTGACAGTATGGACTAAAATAATAGAGATGAAAACAAATGAGAGCTTTTGACATGTAATGTGTAAATATAGGACTGTACACAGATGTAGCATCTCCGACGCATGGACGTGTTGTTATGGAGCGCTTGCCTTTGTTTCTGCAACCACTAGAAAAGCTTCATCTGAAGCCTAACAGAGTCTCTTTAACACAGTCTCTCCGGCTGGACACACACGTGTGTGTCTCACATTCACTTTCTCTTTAGAGTTCTGATCCAGCAAACCAACCAGACGATGCACTATTACATCGGATTCAATATTTCAGTATTAAGGACATATTAAGTATAAAAACTTGTATTTAAGGTGTATATATATATATAGTACAATTAATTGTTTTGGTATAAATCATTGTGAACACATTAAATAATTGATCAAAAGTGATAATGATGGAAAAAATAAATACTGTTCTTTAAAAATTTCTATTCATCATGAAAACAGTTCATATTTATGTGGAAACTGTCATACAACACTGATAATAATCGTAACTGTGTGTTGATCATCAGATCCTCATATTAGAGTGATCATGTGACACTGAAGACTGGAGTAATGATGCTGATAATTCACAGGAATAAATTACACTTTACTCTATATTCACATAGAAAACAGATGATTTTCAATATAATAACGTCTCACAATTTTTACTGTATTTTTGATCATAGTGTTGATTAAAGCCCTGAAATTTCCTTGAATTGTTGATCAGATAAAGACTTTTTTTCAAAATCAAAACTCGTACTGACACCAAAAATGATATATATTTTTCATGAATTTAAATAAGATTTAATGAGTTTCACGTTATAACACACGTTATAAGCTCTGGGGTTGTTTTACTGAATCCCTCTATAGAGAAAAGGAATGTGATTTTTACTTCCAGAATCTGTCGAGGTGTATTGGGGGAAATATATCATTTCTAAAGATGAATATTTCTGGATGAACTCTTCCGTCGAACCGTTTACAGTTCTCAGTGTTTTTATCATTCCCTTGTTTTGAGCAGTATTATGAAGATTGTTGGTATCTATATGGAGTTATTTTAAACACACACCTTTCACTGTCTAAATACAAATAAATCACTTTAAATTCTAAAAAGACATTTAGTTGCATTATCTGTAAGATTGAAAGCTGGATCGATTTGATCAATTATTATATGATTTGCTCATCATAACACTGTCTGCTTTACTATTAATAAACAGAAACATGCCGTCATTAGGATCAAACTGTGTCCTTTAAGGTCATTACTAAAATCTTTACTTTATTATGATAATTGTAGCTTGTGATCGGAAGGGTCACATTGGATTGTGCCAAACGCTTGAACTTTTTAAAGGCATTTATGTACAGCTAAAACTCAGCGCTTCTATTAAAGGGGTCGCGACACGACGTCTCTCAGTGCGCCGAGCGAACATATAATCCCGGACGCCATCCAGTCTTAAAGAGACGGCAGCCTTCGTCTCAGTGATGCTCAAACACTCAACTGCTTTTTTATCCTTTGTATGAATTCAATATAAATAAATTCATAATGTGTTTTATTTTTTTACATTTGATTATTCAGTTTCGGTAGTATTTCTCACTACATGTTAAATAAACCTTTGTGATTAAACCTAACAAATCTAAAAATAAAGTAAAATGTTCCGCCTTGCTTTATTACAGAAGACTGTGTGTTATTATTGGATTCGGCTTTTGTTTTATAATTTTGACTAAAATGGGAAGAAAATTTCACATTTAATTGAGAAGGATTGACCTGTTAACCCGTTTACCGCAGTCAAATACAAAAAGTAAAGGCCTGTTCACACCGGGACGAATTTCTCTCGCCACCGTTTAACGCCTCGTGACTAAACAAAGGGTGCCAACGTGAGTGTACACACCGGCACGAAAAACTGCACTCGTAAAAGCGTGATTTAAAAAAAAAAACGTTTATTGTTTTTTTTGTTTGACGCGCCGCGTCAAAAACTATCCGATGAAATTTGCGCTTTTGCTCACGTGTTTGGAGCTTCTGAAGTTACAGTAAAACACAACGTGGGGGCGCTCAAACACAAAATGGTCTTGCCGCGCACACATACGTTTTATATTAAGCGGCATCTAATGTCAGGGAAAAAACGCGTTGAAAAGTGCTGGCGAATAACGCGCGCTGATAGCCGTCCCGGTGTGTACGCCTCTCAACACAAAACAAGACAACTATAATTAAAAAGCACTTATCGGATCGAAATTTGATTACTAATCAAGAACCGATGTGAATCGCATGGTGACACACATCCAGCGTATGCTAATATTAGCTGTTTCGCAACTGAACGCAAGTGGGCGGAGCTTACAGAGCTGATTGGTCGATGTCTTGCTCTGGAGGCGGGAATATGCAAATGACTTTGCTTGAATGATGTCACAGATCCCGTAATATCAAAACGTTAATATCCTCGTGTCATGACCCCTTTAAACCTGTTACACACTAGCTAATGTCGACTAGCGAAGCATATCCGCGGCTTCAGACGAGTGCAGCGGTGGCTCAGTGTTCGTGCCAGAGCACTGAGATCAGCCGTATTGAATATTAACGGTCAGATTGCATGATTTCTTTAGTATTGCTCTGAGTTTGTGTGGCTGTAGTTTCTCCTTGATAATGAATAAAGCTTCTCTGTGTTCAAACTGTCCTCCGTGGTCCTGATTATTGATCGCTCGAGCCGCTACTAACCCTCATCCGCTCCGCTCCAGTCCTCACCCGTGCTTTACACGCGTCCTGATGTTCACTAGACTGCAGATGTTTAGTTTACAGTAGAGGAATAGTTTAGCTGAAAATAAACCTTGTGTCGTTTAAACCGTATGCTGTTGTTTTTATTGACTTCATGATGTTTTATATAGTGACATTTTACTACGCAAAACACATAATCACACAGCACTGTATATAAACTATATTTATAATATTACAACTATATTATTAACTATATGTAGTTGATCGTATAATATGTATATTATAAATATAGTTGATAAACAATGTAAACTTTATTATTGCTCAGCTCTTTATATAAAATTGTTTATACAGGAGAAACTCGAAATGCAAAGTGAGATATTTCAAGCCTTTATTTGTTATAATTTTGATGATTATGGCTTACAGATTATGAAATCCCCAAATTCAAAATTAGATTATGATATCAAGGTCATGATTTTCTGCTTTGAATCGATGTGTTGTGAAAAGTGTTATAGAAATAAATGTTTGTAATAATTACTGCATGTATTTAAAAATACAACAGCATACAGGTTTGAATTGACATGAGTATATTTTCATTTATGGATGAATTATTCCTTCACAATATGTTTGTGTGTGATTGTGTGTGTGAGTGAGTGAGTGAGTGACTGAGTGAGTCAGTCAGTAAGTGATTGAGTCCGTCAGTGAGTGAGTCAGTCAGTAAGTGAGTCAGTCAGTAAGTGATTGAGTCCGTCAGTGAGTGAGTCAGTCAGTAAGTGATTGAGTCCGTCAGTAAGTGAGTCAGTCAGTAAGTGATTGAGTCCGTCAGTGAGTGAGTCAGTCAGTCAGTGAGTCAGTCAGTAAGTGATTGAGTCCGTCAGTAAGTGAGTCAGTCAGTAAGTGATTGAGTCCGTCAGTGAGTGAGTCAGTCAGTAAGTGATTGAGTCCGTCAGTAAGTGAGTCAGTCAGTAAGTGATTGAGTCCGTCAGTGAGTGAGTCAGTCAGTCAGTGAGTCAGTCAGTAAGTGATTGAGTCCGTCAGTAAGTGAGTCAGTCAGTAAGTGAGTCAGTCAGTAAGTGATTGAGACCGTCAGTGAGTGAGTCAGTCAGTAAGTGATTGAGTCCGTCAGTAAGTGAGTCAGTCAGTAAGTGATTGAGTCCGTCAGTGAGTGAGTCAGTCAGTAAGTGATTGAGTCCGTCAGTAAGTGAGTCAGTCAGTAAGTGAGTCAGTCAGTAAGTGATTGAGTCCGTCAGTGAGTGAGTGAGTCAGTCAGTGAGTGAGTCAGTCAGTCAGTGATTCAGTCAGTCAGTGAGTGAGTCAGTGAGTGAGTCAGTCAGTCAGTGAGTGAGTCAGTGAGCGAGTCAGTCAGTCAGTTAGTGAGTGAGTCAGTGAGCGAGTCAGTCAGTCAGTGAGTGAGTGAGTCAGTGAGTGAGTCAGTCAGTCAGTCAGTGAGTGAGTCAGTCAGTCAGTGAGTGAGTCAGTGAGCGAGTCAGTCAGTCAGTCAGTCAGTGAGTGAGTCAGTCAGTTAGTGAGTGAGTCAGTGAGCGAGTCAGTCAGTCAGTGAGTGAGTGAGTCAGTGAGTGAGTGAGTCAATCAGTCAGTCAGTGAGTGAGTCAGTGAGCGAGTCAGTCAGTCAGTGAGTGAGTCAGTCAGTTAGTGAGTGAGTCAGTGAGCGAGTCAGTCAGTCAGTGAGTGAGTGAGTGAGTCAGTGAGTGAGTGAGTCAATCAGTCAGTCAGTGAGTGAGTCAGTGAGCGAGTCAGTCAGTCAGTGAGTGAGTCAGTCAGTAAGTGAGTCAGTGAGTGAGTCAGTCAGTGAGTGAGTGAATCAGTCAGTGAGTGAGTGAGTCAGTCAGTGAGTGAATAAGTGAGTCAGTCAGTCAGTGAGTGAGTGAGTCAGTCAGTAAATGAGTCAGTGAGTGAGTCAGTCAGTAAGTGAGTCAGTCAGTAAATGAGTCAGTGAGTGAGTGAGTGAGTCAGTCAGTAAATGAGTCAGTGAGTGAGTGAGTCAGTCAGTGAGTGAGTGAGTCAGTCAGTAAATGAGTCAGTCAGTCAGTGAGTCAGTAAATGAGTCAGTGAGTGAGTCAGTCAGTAAATGAGTCAGTGAGTGAGTGAGTGAGTCAGTGAGTGAGTTTGTGTGTGTGTCTGAGAGAGAGTGTGTGTGTGTGTCTTCATACACTGCTGCTGCTCTGTCTCTGTTATTAACTCTCACTGGCCGTCACTCGACTCTCTTCCAGATCCATTATCTAATGATCCTCTCTGCAAACTGGGCTTATCTAAAGGACGCCAGTCACACACACGCGTATCAGGACATCAAACTGAAGGAGGAGCGCGAGCTGCAGGACATCCAGGCACGCTCCAAAGAGTGTGTGAACTCCTACTCCTGAGGACACACACACACACACACACAAACAAACACACACTCACTAACACATACTAATGCATCTGCTGCTTTCCTGTCCACTAACGCCGACTGCACACACACACACACACACACACACACACCTCGTCTCGGTTCATCCTCTGGTTCGGTTCCTCTCGAAGCGCTCTGAGATCAGCGATGGCTGCTTGAACTTTGACATGTTGCACTATTGGAAACGTTAATCAGATTGTGTTGGTAACGAGGTGTGAGTGTACACATGAATACGAGTGAAGTGCAAGCATTCGTTTCCCATGATCCCCCCTGGGACGCTTACATTATATACATGTATGTTGCAAAATCTGAAAAAGATTCATTATTTTTTTGGAAACGATTGCATTTAAAATCCAATTTTGTGCAAAAATGCCTCATCTTTGCCCATGTTTTGAGTGCACTGCATTGTGGGATACTGTCCCACTGTGTTCTGCGTTTAGATTGATGATGATGACCACTGAAACAGTCACACTACCTCACACACACCACTCTATTATTCAGCTCGTAATTCTGTGTGAATCCCAGAGTTCATTTCCTATTGGCCGAGTGACGTCACAGAATAATGTTTATACTGTCCCCAAAACAAACGCAGGACTGAATGATGAGAACATGACAAGTTAAAGAAATGATATTTTACATGTAATGCTTATGAAGCGTTGATGTCTAATGCATTAGAAAGGCTTTATTTCTATTGCAATTCTCATTATTATTGTGATGTTTTTTGTTTTTTAAAAAGAAAATCTTGCCATGATTGTCCAAATACTTTTTTGTATGAAAGCGATGCGATATGGAGGGTTTGATTTCACATTTTTTGTTAATGGTGCGTCTGAACCTCATCATGAATATGAACTCTGACCTGCAACTTTTGTTTTGTTTTGTTTTGTTTGGGGGGAGGATAAAACTGAAGTAAATATGCAACTGTAAATCCCGCCGCCAGACTTTAATGTTATAATGCGCTTTCTTTTCAGTTTTAGTTTAGTCCATGTAATGTTCATTGCTGGTAATTTGATTCGTATATGAATTCTGTATATCGCTTTTTAACCAGTATTCTTAGGGGGATTCCCTTAGTTTTTACTTAAACTGCTATTTTGAATTAAAAAAAATGTAAAAAGCAAAAAAATAAATGACAAAGCGCAAATATATAATGCATCGGCCTCTTTTATAAGGAAAGTTCTCGTGTGTGTATCTGTGTGTTGATGCTTTAATCAGTGGCGCTGTACGCTAAGGTGGATTTGTGAATATTAACAACTGTCCAAAACTGATGATTTGATGTCGGCGACACCGTGTTCAGCCCTTCAAACAAGCTGTTGGATTTTATACAAAAATAAACAAAATATAATAAAAGACTCTTCTTTCAGATCAGTGTCATGATTTGTGTCTAGCTTTATTTCTACAGCGCTTTATACAGACCTGACGATGCAAACCTCATCAAATATGAGAATAATTCAAATACTCATTATTCAGTCTCACCCTCAGTACTAATACAGGTTTGATCCAGTAATTCAACTTAAAAGCTGAAACTAATATATTATAAAGACTCATTACATGCAAAGTGAGATATTTCAAGCCTTTATTTGTTATAATTTTGATGATTACGGCTTACATATGGCTTAAATTTGGGGTTTTCATAAACTGTAAGTCATAATCATCACAATTATAACAAATAAAGGCTTGAAATATCTCACTTTGCATGTAATGAGTCTTTATAATATATTAGTTTCACCTTTTAAGTTGAATTATTGAAATAAATGAACTTTTGCCCCGTATTCTATATTCTTCACCTGCACTACTGAATAATAACAGAACTTATTAATAACCTTTCACAGTAAAAACAGCACTCGCACAGAGTCGTGTGTCTATAAGCACGAGGAGCTGGATGTGTTTCACCAGAAGTCGTCGTCTGGCTCGGTGTGTGACGTCACGCCGGCGCTGAGGAGCGGAGGGAAGGGTTAGCATGAAGCGTTCCTCACAGGTGAACACACACACACACACACAGACCTCACCTGTGCTCGTCGCGCTCCGACGGGAGGACGTCCTCTTCACTTTGGTGTTCTGATGCCTCTTTCTTTGGACTCTGAAAGTTCATTAAAAGAATCACAGAGTCAAACATCTCGCCTTACAATCAAAAGAAATTACATTATACTTTGGTTATTAGAAGATTAAACCATTTCAAGTCCTCAAATTTAAGTGTTTCTGTGAGTGTGTGTTCATGAACCTGATCCTGCATGACCATCATCATGTACTTCTGAAGCGGATTGGCCACATCAGCTCCTCCTCCTCCAATCGCTGAGGTCGGTAACGTCACGTGACCTTCTCTCTCGTCTTCTGCTGGTTTCTCATTTTGCTCCTCCTGAAAGCCGATCACAGAAATCATCCAGAACGACTTTAACACACACTTCCCTCAAAATGACCCCAAGCATTAAAATTACACTTGCTTTCTTTTTATCCTATTTTTTGAGATTTTTTGCTATTTTGTATTTTATTTACCTTTCATTTACCTATTAATGTGACAAGATTTGATCAATAAAAATAAATAAGATAACAATATAAAATAAAAAATATTTTAAAAAATATAAATAGTTTAAAATAACAATAAATAAGCACATTGTTCACAATCTTTCAACTTAAACTCAAAATAACACATAATTTCATGCATAACTCTTTTAATTTAAATATCTTCCATCGGGAGTCTTGTGGAATATTAATAATAACACATGATATTTCACGACTCTAAATGGGCTTATTTCTCTATATGAGCCGCTGTTCCGCTGGGTCCTAAAGCCAGTTTCTCTTCAGTGTGCGGACATTATAAAATATTTTTTTGGTAAAGTTTTAGTCTGAAATTTCAACATTTTTAGGGTTTTCTATGTGAACTGAAGCATTCCTAAGTGGCTCAGACTGACCTGAGGGAGTGCATTTGTTACTTTTTTTTATTTCAACCACAAAACTCCTCAAATACATTCAATTTTTGAGTGAGTGTGTGTGTGTGTGTGTGTATTCGTGGTTGGAGTGCGACACAAGTCCCAGTGTCTCGGACCCTCTGATGAACACTCAATTTAATAATGAAGTGTTTGAGGTCAAGATGCCCCGAGGGAAGGATGAGTGCTGCAGTTGTGTGTGTGTGTGTGTGTGATGTAAGACACGTCACCGTCTCCTGCTCGAGTCTCTCCATCTCTCTCTCCTGCGCCTCCTCTCTCTCCTCTTTGCTCTTCCTCTCCTCCTCCCAGCGCTGCTCCTCTTCCTCAGGCCGGTCTCTGGTTGCGGCGGGTGATGATGATGATGGTGATGATGATGATGATGAACATCTGAAACACACCACACTCATTAATATCCAGTGATTTCAGAACTCAAAGAGGAAGAGACTGAAGATCCGACTCACCCTGATGATGATCCTGGAGTCTCTCGAGGAAACACTCCTGATCTGTGGACACAACTGAACACACACACACACACACACACACACACACACAGGTTATTTAACTCTAAAAGTGAAGAAGTATGGCAGAAGACTCAATCATGTTCACTGCTGGTCAGAAGAGGATGAGGATCTGATGATCAACAAACATTTATGATTATTATCAGTGTTGAAATCCGTAATAAAATTATTTATTTGAAATAGAATCTTTTTTTTATCATCATAGATGTCTTTACTGTCACTTTTGGCCAGTTTAATGCATCCTTGATGAATAAAAGCTTAATAAAAAATCTTCCTGAGCCCAATCTTCTGAACAGCAGTGCATCCTGGGAAACTGAACTCCTGATCCTCCCAGAATGCGGATGAATGCTCACGTTGAAGGGGGTCGGTGAGGTCGTGGAGCGTGATCTTCTCGGGTTGAGGAGACGACTCCTGCGATGAGCTGGATCTGATGTCCTGCAGTTTGGGTGGACTGCGGTTCAAAACACACACAACCGTCCGTTAGTTTCATAAATCATGTCGTTACACACTGAAATATTCCAGAACATTATCAAGTGAGTTGAGTGAGTTGGCGTGTCTTTAAGTGTGTGGTGTGTGTTGATGTGTTGTTAAAGGAAAAGTTCAGTTTGAAATTAATGTTTGATATGTTTTATCTTACCTCAAGGGCATCCAAGATGTAGGTGTCTTTGTTTCTGCAGTATTTTCAATTTTGCCATTTTTCAGTCAAACCGTTGTTGTCTATCAGTCATACACTGGAGGCTAAGGGGGTCCACCAAAGAGCAGCACAGAGAAGTCCAAATTAAACATGATTTAATGACTCGTAAATGTAAGTACACACTGATGGCCTAAGACACGAAACGAGCGGTTTGTGTGAGAAAACCAACAGTATTTATATAGTTTTACCTCGTGTAATCACAGTGATCTGAATCAGTTGTTCAATGTCGAACTGAACCGAACTGAATCAGTTCAATGTTACGCCGGAAGTGATCGCTTGCGTGTGACGTCACTCAATATTTACACGGAGATTTCGGAAGTTTTACCTTTTACTAAACATATTTAGATATCCCGAAATCGTCTTCCATTGCGGTTTCCCGTATATGTAAATATGTTTAGTGAAAGGTAAAACTTCCCAAATCTCTGTATAAACAAAGAGTGACGTAGCGATCACTTCCAGACCGAAGCGCCCGTGCCGTCAGATCATTTTGTCATGGCTGTGATTACACGAGGTAAAAACGATATAAATACTGTTGGTTTTCTCACACAAACCGCTCGTTTCGTGTCTTAGGCCATCAGTGTGTACTTACATTTACGAGTCATTAAATCATGTTTAATTTGGACTTCTCTGTGCTGCTCTTTGGTGGACCCCCTTAGCCTCCAGTGTATGACTGATAGACAACAACGGTTTGACTGAAAAATGTCAAAATTGAAAATACTGTGGAAACAAAGACACCTACATCTCGGATGCCCTTGAGGGAAGATAAAACATATCAAACATTAATTTCAAAGTGAACTATCCCTTTAAGTGCGTTTGTTGCGTGTCTTTAAGCATGCGGTGTTTTGATGTTACTTCAAGTGTGTGTTGGCGTGTCCTTAAGTGTGTGTGTGTGTGTGTGCACCTGCAGCTGTGGCGTGTGGTGCTCTTCATCCTGGGGCTGCTGGGACTGATGTGTGTGTGTGTGAAGTCTCTGGAAGAGCTCATTTCTCCAGCAGGGATCGGGGAGATCTCTCTCTCTCTCTCTGCAAACACCAGTGCCGCTCGCCCGCTGTCAGAGATCCTCTCCGCTCTGACCAACACACACACACACACACACAAACACACACACATGCAAAGCATTAGTTCACTTCAGAATTAAACCCCCCCCGTCATCCAAGATGTTCACTCGCTGCTGTTACTCCTGATCCTGGATCAGTGAGATGAGATCGGCCTGTGTTCTTATAGAGAGCCTAAGCCCCTCCCCTTCCGGTCGACCACCACGGGACCTTATTTCGGAAAAATATTGAATGGTAGTCAATGGCGAGAGACAACAAATATTTTGATGTGGTTTGAATTGTGCGCTGAATTACACATATGATGTTTGTCGATTTAAAAGATACGTTTTAAAGTAAAGAAAGTCACAGTTTGATGTAAAACCGTTGAGGTATAAGACTGTGAAAATACATAATTACAAAGACTACAAACCCCAAAGGCGCACATTTTCTCTCAATGAATGAAGCGAACTTTACTGAGGCTGTCCGTCATTGTTTCTACAGTCTTGCGTTATAATCGTAACGTTACGAGTGTTTTATACCAGACTGCACACACACGAGCAGCGGATCTCGTTTCGCTTCCTGGGAGATGTAGTTCATAGAGCGATTTTCACATAAAACTAAATGTTACTCTTCTGTTTTATGACAAACTGAATCAGAATTATCTTTTAAATTGACAAACATCATATGTGTAATTGAGGGCACAGTTCAGACGGAATAAAAACATAAGTTGTCTCTCTGACTACCATTCATATTTTCTGAAATAAGGTCCAATGAGCCGGAAGCGGAGGGGCGGGACTTAGGTTCTCTATCGCCGGAGTCTCTGAAGCTCGTGTGACGGCTCCGCCCTCTTCTGAACAGAGGTGGAGCTAAAGCTCATTTGCATTTAAAGGAATATACACAAAACCAGGGCGTTTTTACTCACACACAAACGGGCTAATTTGATGAGCTATAATAAATGATCTGGTATTTTGTTGGGCTGTATTCAACCAAAGAAATCCTTAGTCGACCAAAGTCTTGTCCTGCGCAACGATTAGTCGACTAAAAAAAAAAAAACGTGATGTTTTGATTAAACATTTTTTAAACAATTGTCATTGAGCATTTATAAAACAACAAAAAAACATAAAAAATAAATAAAACTATAATAATAATTAAATTCTTTGAAAATTAAGTGATTTTTTTACTGCAAAAAGTGAAGAGCTCTGTCCTCGGTCACAATCGCGCACCTGACCACACCACACGCTGCAAAACATATAACTGCTATCTGCCACATTATTAAAAATCCTAACAAAAGCTCTCGTTTATACAGGCTGTATATTCTTCTTTACTTTCAAAGCTATGGGTTAACTTTCGTCCTGACGATCAAGGCATTTTAAACAACACACAAAACCCAAATAGCCTAAAAACAATCCTAATAATAGGCTGTAGGACCGCGTATAGGTTCATTTTCGTTTTGTTGCATTATTTAGGCTATTTTCAAATGCGTCAAGTGTACAAATAAAAACGAAAACATTAAGAAAACACAATCTATTGAGTCAGCATGATATAGCCGTTAAAAGGCTCGCGTCTTTTGCGCGCTCAAGTTCGATTTCAAATGTAGGGCGCGCGACTTGCGCGCTCATAATGGAGCAACGCGATCGCCTCCCTCCACAGTCTTGTCGTCTTTGTTTTAAAATGCAGCCAGACAAAAGATTTAGATTTCCTGGACATTTTGTCGACTAAAGCCAAAACAAGCAGCGTTCTAACTGAATGAATACAGGATCCCTTACCGAGCGCGAGCAGCAGCGCAGCCGGACACAGGTGCGGTTCCCGAGTGTATTATGTGTGTGCGCTAAACTCTGGCGCAGTTACAAAAAAAGCCTCAATTAAAGCATTTTAAAGTTGGGGACAAAGCATAGGCTAATTATATTTAGAATACAGTAATAAATAACTGCTTATAAAGGAATAAATATCAAGAAGTAAATCATTGAAAAATTCTTACTATTGGTAAAAAAAAAAAAAAAAAAAAAAAAAAAAAAATGCAACTGGTCGACCAATAAGAATGTCAGTCGACCAAGACGGCATCGACCGATTAGTCGATTAAACGACTAAAGTTGACAGCCCTAGTATTTTGAGCTGAAGTTTCACACACACATTCTGGGGATGCTGTAGATCTGGTGGAAAGGGGCGTAATGTCTCCTTTAAATGAAAAATACACACCTATGCCAAACTTAACACAGAGTTCGACAAAAACACAGATGTTTTGGCCAGATGTGTCCGGTTGCCAGCGCAGTTATAGCGTTACCTTGCTCGCCCCGGCCCTCGGCTCTGCGGCGTGTCGGCGGGGCTCTCTCTCTCGGGGAAGGGCTTCGGCTCAGTCTCTCCACGGGGCAGGTTCTGGGGCCTCGGTTCTGATGGCTCCTGTACGCCTCCTCGAGTCGCTCCGCCTCCAGCTCCAGCTGCCGGATCCGAGCCAGAGCGTCGCTCACCAGGCCCGAGTCGTGCTCGTGTCCGGGGGCCTCGCCGCGAGTCCATCGGCCCCCCGCTTCAGCCACATCAGCGGCACACGCGGCCCTGGGCCTCCAGCCGGAGTCTGCGTACACGTCAGGGGTCACACTGACAACGGGTCGCTCTAACAGCGAAGGCTTTCGAAGGACCTCGTTCTCCAGAGCTGAGAACGAGAGAGAGAGAGAGAGACCCAAAACCCCAAATGAAAGATCTATACTAGGAAACATCCAGGTTCCCACTAGTCGTTCGTGATTTGTACTAATAATCTAGAATGATTCAACGATTCATTGAAAACAACTTGACTCATTCTGAATGATTCATTTGCGAATCACTGTTTTTTTTTATTTAGTTTGTATTAACGAATCGTTCAAGTGACTTCACATCTCATTCTGAATGATTCATTTGTGAATCACTCTTTTTTTAATTTAGTTTGTATTAACGAATCGATCAAGTGACTTCACATCTCATTCTGAATGATTCATTTGCGAATCACTGTTTTTTTTTTATTTAGTTTGTATTAACGAATCGTTCAAGTGACTTCACATCTCATTCTGAATGATTCATTTGTGAATCACTCTTTTTTTAATTTAGTTTGTATTAACGAATCGATCAGTGACTTCACATCTCATTCTGAATGATTCATTTGTGAATCACTGTTTTTTTATTTAGTTTGTATTAACGAATCGTTCAAGTGACTTCATATCTCATTCTGAATGATTCATTTGTGAATCACTCTTTTTTAATTTAGTTTGTATTAACGAATCGTTCAAGTGACTTCACATCTCATTCTGAATGATTCATTTGTGAATCAACTCTTTTTTTAATTTAGTTTTTATTAACGAATCGTTCAAGTGACTTCACATCTCATTCTGAATGATTCATTTGTGAATCACTCTTTTTTTAATTTAGTTTGTATTAACGAATCGATCAAGTGACTTCACATCTCATTCTGAATGATTCATTTGTGAATCACTCTTTTTTTTATTTAGTTTGTATTAACGAATCGTTCAAGTGACTTCACATCTCATTTTGAATGATTCATTTGTGAATCACTCTTTTTTTAATTTAGTTTGTATCAACGAATCGTTCAAGTGACTTCACATCTCATTCTGAATGATTCATTTGTGAATCACTCTTTTTATTTAGTTTGTATTAACGAATCGTTCAAGTGACTTCACATCTCATTCTGAATGATTCATTTGCGAATCACTGTTTTTTTTAATTTAGTTTTTATTAACGAATCGTTCAAGTGACTTCACATCTCATTCTGAATGATTCATTTGTGAATCACTCTTTTTTATTTAGTTTGTATTAACGACTCTTTCAAGTGACTTCACATCTCATTCTGAATGATTCATTTGCGAATCACTGTTTTTTTTTATTTAGTTTTTATTAACGAATCGTTCAAGTGACTTCACATCTCATTCTGAATGATTCATTTGTGAATCACTGTTTTTTTTATTTAGTTTGTATTAACGAATCGTTCAAGTGACTTCACATCTCATTTTGAATGATTCATTTGTGAATCACTCTTTTTTTAATTTAGTTTGTATCAACGAATCGTTCAAGTGACTTCACATCTCATTCTGAATGATTCATTTGTGAATCACTCTTTTTTATTTAGTTTGTATTAACGAATCGTTCAAGTGACTTCACATCTCATTCTGAATGATTCATTTGCGAATCACTGTTTTTTTTAATTTAGTTTTTATTAACGAATCGTTCAAGTGACTTCACATCTCATTCTGAATGATTCATTTGTGAATCACTCTTTTTTATTTAGTTTGTATTAACGACTCTTTCAAGTGACTTCACATCTCATTCTGAATGATTCATTTGCGAATCACTGTTTTTTTTTATTTAGTTTTTATTAACGAATCGTTCAAGTGACTTCACATCTCATTCTGAATGATTCATTTGTGAATCACTGTTTTTTTATTTAGTTTGTATTAACGAATCGTTCAAGTGACTTCACATCTCATTCTGAATGATTCATTTGTGAATCACTGTTTTTTTTATTTGGTTTGTATTAACGAATCGTTCAAGTGACTTCACATCTCATTCTGAATGATTCATTTGTGAATCACTCTTTTTTTTATTTGGTTTGTATTAACGAATCGTTCAAGTGACTTCACATCTCATTCTGAATGATTCATTTGTGAATCACTCTTTTTTATTTAGTTTTTATTAACGAATCGTTCAAGTGACTTCACATCTCATTCTGAATGATTCATTTGCGAATCACTGTTTTTTTTAATTTAGTTTGTATTAACGAATCGTTCAAGTGACTTCACATCTCATTCTGAATGATTCATTTGTGAATCACTCTTTTTTTTATTTAGTTTGTATTAACGAATCGATCAAGTGACTTCACATCTCATTCTTAATGATTAATTTGTGAATCAACTCTTTTTTTTTATTTAGTTTGTATTAACGAATCTTTCAAGTGACTTCACATCTCATTCTGAATGATTCATTTGTGAATCACTGTTTTTTTATTTAGTTTGTATTAACGAATCGTTCAAGTGACTTCACATCTCATTCTGAATGATTCATTTGTGAATCACTCTTTTTTTTATTTGGTTTGTATTAACGAATCGTTCAAGTGACTTCACATCTCATTCTGAATGATTCATTTGTGAATCACTGTTTTTTTAATTTAGTTTTTAACAACGAATCGTTCAAGTGACTTCACATCTCATTCTGAATGATTCATTTGTGAATCACTCTTTTTTTAATTTAGTTTGTATTAATGAATCGTTCAAGTGACTTCACATCTCATTCTGAATGATTCATTTGTGAATCACTCTTTTTTTAATTTAGTTTGTATTAACGAATCGATCAAGTGACTTCACATCTCATTCTGAATGATTCATTTGTGAATCACTCTTTTTTTTATTTAGTTTGTATTAACGAATCGTTCAAGTGACTTCACATCTCATTCTGAATGATTCATTTGTGAATCACTCTATTTTTAATTTAGTTTGTATTAATGAATCGTTCAAGTGACTTCACATCTCATTCTGAATGATTCATTTGTGAATCACTCTTTTTTAATTTAGTTTGTATTAATGAATCGTTCAAGTGACTTCACATCTCATTCTGAATGATTCATTTGTGAATCACTCTTTTTTTTAATTTAGTTTGTATTAACGAATCGTTCAAGTGACTTCACATCTCATTCTGAATGATTCATTTGTGAATCACTCTTTTTAGTGTGATTCACTTCGGAATATTTCGTTGTATGAATATTTGAACACGCAATATATCAAAAGAAAGAACCGAATATCTGATTTTATTCTAGATTCAGGCATTTGTTTTTATCAACACTTGAATGATTCATAAAGCCGATAGACTCGTGTGTTCGTCACAGTGTTGGTCCGGATGGGACTGAGAGGATGATCATGAACACAGACTCGATCGCATTATTTTCTATAAAGTGATATCATATGCACGTTTCTGCTTCTGCGCTGTGTTGATCAGGAGATGAGCACTCTTTCAGGAGAGATGGGTAACAGCGCCCCCTACCGTACCACTGAGAACGACGTTAACGGCGGGGAAAGAGTTAATACAAACTCAATAAAAGAGGGATTCACAAATGAATCATTCAGAATGAGTTGTTTGAACGATTCACTACGGTTGAGTTTCAGTCGACTCGAGTTCATTACACTGCCCTCTAGCGGCCGTGGGAACCCTGAATGAAGCAACACACACACACACACACACACACACACACACACACACACACACACACACACACACACACGCTTGCAAAGGAATCCGAAGGCATTGACAGAAAAGATGAAAGTCAGATCGACAGAAAGGTTGTGTGTGTGTGACGGACTGGAGCGAGTGTGTGGACGAGACCTTGCTGTGTGTGCTGGAGCTGGAGCTGGAGCTGGTGTGTGTGAGCGTTCATCCATGCGGTGCGTTCCTCACACTCCTGCAGCTGAGCCTTCAACAGCACACACTGCTGAGCCTGCACACACACACACACACACATTAAAAAAGTCATATCTGATATCAAATCATATTATTGTAATGCATTGGAATGATAATGAATAACAATATTAATAATAATTAATATTATTAACTTGAATATATTATTAAAAATTCAAAAAGTAATATAATTTTTTTGAAGGTCATGTTCTTGATATTTTTAGCCGAATTCAGCAAATCTCACAAACTATCTCAGAACTGTGTATCTCACCACATAGAAAATATCATTACTATTAAATCTAATTTAATAATAAATATGAAGGTAGGGATGGGCAATGATTAATCGCATCCAAAATAAAAGTCTGTGTTTACATAATATATGTGTGTGTAGTGTGTATAATTATTTTGTATATATAAATGCACACACATGTATGTGTATATTTAAGAAAAATGTGTTATTAATATATCAAATATTTATATTTTTATATAATATTAATTATGTATAAATATATATATATATATAAAGTATATTCATGCAAATATTTCTTAAATATACACATACATGTGTGGGTATTTATATATACAAATTAATTATACACACTACACACACATATATTATGTAAACACAAACTTTCATTTTGGATAAGATTAATAGCGATTAATCATTGCCCATCCCTAGGTCATAATCTTAAAGTCCATATTCTATTTTTTAAATATGTGTGTGTGTGTGTGTGTGTGTGTGTGTGTATGAATCTTCCTTGTTTCACTTGGTTTTGAAGGTTATGTTCTCAGTGTTTTGTGAGATTCATCTATAAATGTACAGTAATGCTCATGACTGATGCAGACACACACACACACACACACACACACACCTCGTGCTGGAGCTGTGTGTGCAGGACGCCTCTCTGCGTCTCGAACTCCTGCTGGTCCAGCGCTCGTGTGTTCTCCAGTCTCCGCAGCTCGGCCTGCAGGACCAGCTCCTGCTCAGACGGGCCCCGGCGCTCTGCACACACACACACACACACACACACACACACACACACACACACACACACACACACACACACACACACCGTTACAAAACAATGAATGTTTGACAGTTTCCACAGAAACTGTTTTCCACACTGATGTGTGTTGATCATCAGATCCTCCAATCAGAGTGATGTGTGCAGGGTCATGTGACACTGATGAACACCTTGTGTGAGGCGCAGGTTCTCCTGCCGTTCCTCCTCCAGCTGGATCTTCATGAGTGTGATGCGAGTCTGCAGGTCGTGTGTCTCCTCCTTCAGCGCTGAGTAATCCCTCATGTCCTCCAGCTTCTCTCGGATCAGCTCGTTGTCTCGGGTCAGGACAGACGCCTGCGCTCGGGCCGACTCCAGCTCCATCTGTGGGAATATGTGACTAAGTAACAAAAGTATTTTTTGCAGTGTATATTTGTGGCGATAGTCAATAGTATGGGTCAGAATTATGGATTTTTCTTTTATGCCAAAAATCATTAGGATATTAACCCTCAGGTGCTCTTCGTTTCGAAGTCACACTAAAAGTGACCGGACACCTAAAAATTAAACTTCCTCCATCCCAGTAAAACCAATGCAATTTATTTTTGTTCTATAATATTTATTCTTTGTAATTTAGTATTTTGAGACAATTTGATTGAATTTATTAATATTTATGCAATATTTATGGTCCATTTTTGCCATTGAAAAATATATTTATTTTCTATATATATATATATATATATTTTTTTTTTTTCAAAAAAATTATTAATGCAGTATTTTAGTTTAAAATAGAGTGTAGGCCTTCAGAAAAAATATATTTTTTTGAAGAAAATTAGCACCATCTGGTTACAGTATAGAGAAAAAGCGTAGAATCATGGTGTGACCACTAGATGGCATGTACAGCTCTCTATGGAGAGGCACGTGAACTCCCCTGATGTTTTTATAAACACTTTTTTTTTTTTTTTTGGGTGGATTTGAATATATAGTTGAAACTTTCTCAAAAACGATTTTCTATTAAAAAAAAGTAAAAAAATAAATACATTTTTTAGAATTTTTGTGTTTTTGTCAATTTCCCGTTCATTTCCTATGGGGGTCATTTTTAACCAAAAACCACAAGTGTGACTATTTTTTTAAGACCACTTAGCATGCTCAGATCATGACCTTAATTTTTTTGTGTGTTCACATACATAATGCCATAAAAGTCACAGAGTTTCGTAACATTTCGAAGAAGCTGTGATTTTTAAAAATTCAAAACATTCTTTTTGTAATCAAAATTTATTGGTGTGTATGTGTATAAAAGTGTGTTTGTATGTGTGTGTGTGTGGGTGAGTTTGTCTGTTTTGCACTCTAGATGTTGTAGAGTGTCACCCCTTTCCTGCGGTGTACTTTTTTTTTTAGAATTGTGGCCGATTTGTAGATTGCACGTATAAAAATTCAGAGATTTTTTTTTTTGTCAATTTCCCATTCATTTCCTATGGGGGTCATTTTTGACCGAAGACCACGAGTGTGACTATTTTTTTTACAATCACTTAGCATGCTCGGATCATGACCTCAATTTTTTTTTGTATACACATACATAATGCCATAAAAGTCACCAAGTTTCATAACATTCCGATGAAGCTGTGATTTTTAAAAATTTAAAACAGAACATTTTTCGCTCAAAAATGAGCAAAGAGCGCCTGACGGTTAAGCAAAGATATTCCTTTTAAGATACTTTGTAAATATCCTACGGTAAATATAAAAACATTTCTGATTTTCTGATGTTTCAATATTCAATAGTCATCCTATCCTAACAATCCACACATCAGTGGAGCGCTTCTTTACTCCGCTTCAGACGCGGGGTTTTGTGGGAAAGAACAGCACATAATGTCTGCGAATAGACCTTTAAAGAGAGATCATCACTCTCTGTGGTCCAGATGAATTATGGGATCAGTTGGTGTTACCTGCAGACGTTTGACCTCTGATGCGCGTCTCTCGTGCTCTTCTGCTTTAGCATGGATATTAGCGGACTCCTCCTGCAGACGGAGCGTTTCTGCTGCGAACCGGACAGAAGAGCGTTCATTATCAGATCAGTAAAACACAACAGCGGTGAATGATGATCCTTCAGTACCTCGAACCCTGTCCTCTTGCTCTGCGAGTGTGTCCGTTCTCCTGGTGTAATCCTCCTTCAGCTCCAGCTGACATCTGAAACACATCCAGCACTCTCACTTCATCTCATCAAACACACTGGAGTATTACTCGTTCTCTGTAAAGGGTCATTTATTCCTGAATTTATCATCAGTGTCACATGACCCGTCAGAAGTGATGCGTGATGTTACTTGAGGATCTCGCTCTGCAGTCTGTGCTGGAAGGAGTCCTCCTGGCTCTTCACACACAGCTCTCTCCTCCTCAGGAGATCCTCCACGCTCTTCTGCTTCTCCTCCTGCAGCGCACAGCTCCTGCCGTCAACACACACACACACACACACCTTCAACATTACCACAGTTTATTCACCATAATTAAGAAATCTGAGCAGAACTCAGTGGATATCTGAGTGGTTTTGTCCATAATATGTCCTGAATTATATTTTTTTTGGTAGCCCTATGTTTAATGTTTTCATATAAAGGATGGATATTATTAATAAAGGTATAGAATAAAGGTAAAAATATAGAATAAAGGTATTCATATTATTAGTGCATTATATATTTTCATAAATTGTAAGCAAAGTAAAAAATGCATTATAATATTTGCAGACTGAAATTTGTTGTTTGTTTGAATGAATTATACTTTCTAAAGGCGTAACAATGTGCAGATCGGTGTTATAATAACTGTGGTTACAATTATTCATTAAATCATGCAGTGCATTATTAGGTGCACAATTCATGCATTGAAATACTGTCAGAATGCATTATTATTAATAATAATAATAATAAACTTTATTACAGACTCACCGGTCCAGATAAAAAACAAAAAAAAAAAAAAACATATTACATATACAGGCTTTACGAAAAGCCGTACCATTTTTTAATTGTATATTTTTATTTTCATTTCAGAGTCATTTTTAATTATTTATTATTTGTTTTAGTCTAGTAATATTAGCACTTAAATTTGACATATTTAACCTTAACTTTAAGTTTTTCCTCTAATATTTCAACTATTAATAAATTAATGTCGGCTTTGTTTCAAGTATTTTTTTTTAAATAGCTTTATTTTGTTATTTACTAGTTTACTGATTATTTATCAAGTTCGTTACAAAAATGATTTATAGATTGGAGCCTAAATGCAGCCATTGAGCGCTACAGCCGTCTAGCGGATATTGATATTTGTGCTTTTTTTGTTATTTTTATAACAACTTATGTCATCAGATGTCACCAAAGTCACCAAATGTTTAGGTTTGGGGCTGAATGAACTTAAAAGAGTGTTTTCATTTTTACTGAAGTAAAATAAATATTAAATATAACATAAAAATAACTATATTTTACATTAAAATTTAAAAAAAAAATAGAAAAACCTAAAAAAAAAAAATCTGAGAAAAAAAGCATAAATTGATCATTTTATTTTTTCAAAGATGGAGATATGATATTTATTTTGAAAAATAAAATAAAATTGTGATCACCAAATGTTTAGGTTTGGGGCTGAATGAACTTAAAAGAGTGTTTTTATTTTTACTGAAATAAAATAAATATTACATATAACATAAAAATAGCTATATTTTACATTAAAATAAAAAAAAAATAGAAAAACCTAAAAAAAAAAAAATCTGAGAAAAAAAGCATAAATTGATCATTTTATTTTTTCAAAGATGGTGATATGATATTTATTTTGAAAAATAAAATAAAATTGTGATCACCAAATGTTTAGGTTTGGGGCTGAATGAACTTAAAAGAGTGTTTTCATTTTTACTGAAGTAAAATAAATATTACATATAAATAAAAAAACTGCATAAATTGATGGATTTTATTTGATCAAAGATGTTGCTATGACATTTATTTCGAATAAAAGAAACACTGCGTTCAGACCGAGACGTTGGCGTGTGAGCGCTGCTGGTGTAAGGACTCACTTGTCGAAGGCCTGGATCCTGAGCTTCAGCTGCATCTCTCCGCTGCGCACACACTCCATCTCTCTCAGCACGGCTTGTCTCTGAGCATACAGATCCTTTTCCTCGGTCTGGATCGGACAGGTTCATCCCAAGGGTCATCATTGAAGATTGATTGAACAGTGGTTTGTATTGACTTTAGTTCTAGTGCTGGGCGGTATACCGGTTTCCTCTCTCACTCAGTAGAGAATGTGGTAAACACCCAGTCACGCTTCAGAAATTATTAATACCGTCATATACAGTGAAACGGGTGTAATTTAGTGTGGTAGCGCCCAGCACTCATTAGATGTGTGTGTGTGTGATGACTGCACCTCCTGTTGTCGCTGTAATCGCTCGATGGCGTTCTTCTCTCGACTCATCAGAGCCTCGGTCTTCAGCTCATACGTTCTCTCCAGGTCTCGTCTCAGCTCCAGGATCTCTCTTCGAGAAGCCTCTTTCTCCTCGCGCTTCACCTTCGCTATCTCCACCTCCATGAAGTGCTGCATCTGCAGGAGACAGACACACAGCTCTGTTACGGACACTTCTACACTGTTAAACATGCTTTTTTTTAAGCAACAATTCTCTTCATGTTGAATTATTACCCCAGAAAACAAGAGACAATATATTACGCATTTTGCTACTTTAGAAAATGCATCTTGATTTAAGCATTTTTAGATATTTGGACTAGAAAAAAGACAAAAAAGCATTTTTTGCAGCGTATGAACTCAGTTCTAGGAACAAGCAACAAGAGTGATTGCCCGAGAACTGATTAGGACACGCTAAGTGTTTGGGTAGTTTTTGTGTAACCCAGCTCCTGGGTCAGATGTTTGGGTAGTGTAGTGTTCCTGCAGACCTTTGCGTTGAGCTCGAGCTGCGCCTGCTCCTGGATCTCCTTCCTGAACTCCGCAAGCTTCGCCTCGATGGACGGCCAGCGCTCTCCTCTGTGCCGGAGCACTTCATACTCCTCGTCGATCAGCTGCATCTTCTCAACTTAAAAATACAATAAAAAAATACAGTGAAAATTGTGAAATATTATTCCAATGTAAAACAGCTAATATAGTAGTGTAATTTATTCCTATAATCAAAGCTGAATTTATATTTATTATTTTTGATTTATATTATCAAAAATAGAGTAAAATTTTTGAAATATTATTAAAATATTATTATTATTATGAAAAATGAAAGTGCACATTTTAGGCTAGTTTATAACATTTAATATCACAGAAAAGATTGGAATCATGATTATATATATAGAAACATATATTATAGAAATATATTATAGATATATATTATAAATATATTATATTATAGAGGATTATATATATATATATATATAGAAATATATATGTATAAGAGTTGAAATTTTTACTATGTTTTATTTTATTTATTTAACCTTTGTTTAACCAGGTAAAATCAGTTCTCATTTACAACTGCGACCTGGCCAATACAAAGCGAAACAGTGCAACGAAAAACAACAACACAGAGCTAGACATAGGAATAAATAAACATACGAAATAAAAATAATAATCTATATCTATATATATAAAAAAGAAAAAATCATAATATAGTACAAAATACAATTAATTGTAAAAATGTATAACAAACATGCAAAAAAAAAAAAAAAATGTTTTACTATTGCAGACACTTTTTGAAAGCCAAAATGTTTAAAGTCCCCCAGTGGTTACGAAGAAGGAATTTTTTAAATATATATATATATATATATATATATGTGTGTCATTTTGGTGATCAGAGATGAGTTTTAAGTGATCAGATGATTGCCTACAGGGGGACTTGAATGAACTGCTGAAATGAATGTTCTCTCCACAAGGAACATGTGATATTGAGTGTGAGACGTGACGGATGTGAAGGCTTACCCAGAGACTCCTTATGCGCAGATATAGAGGAGGTTTGGGTCGACGTGTCACAGCAGTTTCTGTCTGTCAGCTCCGTGAAGAGGCTCATCAGGAAACCTGTCGGGTTACACCACATCCATCACAGAGAGCAGATCCTGGAACAACTCACACTTTACAACATGCAATTCTGCCTTTAGAAAATGCAATTTTTACTTTATATATAACGTAATTCTGACTCTAAATCACACAATTGTGACTATATAATGCAATTGCAACTATTAAAACACAATTCTGACTTTATATCACGGATTTGCAACTTTATATAACGCAATTACGACTTCATATCATGCAATTGCAACTAACACAATTCTGACTTTATGTCACGCAATTTTTACTTTATATAACACATTTCTGACTTTATATCACACAATTGCACTTTATATAATGCAATTTTGACTTTAAATAATAAAAGTTTGACTATATAACATTTTTTACTTTATATAACATTTTTTACTTTCACTTTATATAATGCAATTTTAACTTTAAATAATGCAATTTTAACTTTAAATAATGCAATTCTGACTTTATATCTCACAATTCTGACTTTATATCTCGCAATTCTGACTTTATGTCACGCAATTCTGACTTTATATCATGCAATTGCACTTTATATAATACAATTTTAACTGTAAATAATGCAATTCTGACTTTATATCATGCAATTGCACTTTATATAATACAAATTTAACTGTAAATAATGCAATTCTGACTTTATATCATGCAATTGCACTTTATATAATACAATTTTAACTGTAAATAATGCAATTCTGACTTTATATCATGCAATTGCACTTTATATAATACAATTTTAACTTTAAATAATGCAATTCTGACTTTATATCATGCAATTGCAACTATATAATGCAATTTTGACTTTAAATAACACATTTTTTACTTTATACAACACATTTTTGACTTTCACTTTATATAACGCAATTTTGACTTTATATAACGCAATTGCGACTTTATAAAATCAATTTTGAAAAAAAAAAAAATTTAAAACAATAATGTGGACACGCAAAGATGAATTGTTTTTAATGTTTCTAATGACTACTTCTAAGTCCCCCTGTGGTGTAAATCCAGTTTTTAAAGTTGTTTATGTGTGTATGTGGTGTGTTTAATCCGCTTTAACACACACCGTGTGTGCGTTGATAAGTGGACAGCATTGCTGAGTATTTCCTCCTTAAAACTACAGTGAACCAAAGACAGTCTCAAAAACACACTTTGGTGTTTCTGACGTCACAAACCACCTTGTAACCAATCAGGTCAACGTGTGATCGTCAACCAGTGGATCTTTGAGTGAGTGAATGGAGGCGGGGCTCATTTGCATATTTATAGAACCGTGCATACTAAATGAGGCGAGGGTGTCGAGTTACCTTTTTTACAAGAAAAAAACATTTAAACGTAATTGTGGCGATCAAAGATGAGTTTGAGGGATAAGGTGATGGACTGCAAGGGGACTTTAAGCAAAGTTGTGAAATAAAAAGATATTTAATTGTATCTGCATCTTATCATGACCTACCCGTCTGTCCCGACTGGATATCTGAAACCTGCCGAATGTGAACGAGAAACAGAGGAATGTGTCACACAAAACAACAACTGATCCAACAAATATAGTAAAGCGTATGTTTGATTACCAGAGCTCTGTGTAACGGTGTGTGAGGACTGATCTTCAGCAGCTGCAGAACGTCTCGGCTGGAGAACACCTGGAACTCAAACAACATATTACACTATTTTATTACACGGCTCTGTGGAATACTGGATTCTGATTGGTCAATCACACATTCAGAGGTGTATTATTCCAAGATAACAGCAGAAACACACACTCGTCCGGTCACTGAAGACATCAGCGCTACACACTCACTAGGAACAGGTTTTCTCAGAATAAACCCTTCAGGTGTGTGTGTGTGTGTGTGTGTGTGATCACCGTGTCTCTGCTCATCCCGCACTCGGGGAGGAAGACGGAGAGTGTGTACTCGTATCCAGCGCTCCGCAGATGATCCGCCACCACACTGTTGCACGCAGTGACCAACACCGAGTGTGTGTGAGGAGCCGGGTCTCCTGTCGGCCGCTGCAGGTCCTGGATCAGCTGATTACGCAGTTGCGTCTGCAAAACAGGACACACTCAGCTACTGAAGGAGGAAGTGTTTGATTTGTATTGTATTATATATATATAGGACCCCCTCGAAAACGAGATGATCCATCTCAAGAGGTTTATCCTATTCAATAAACTTATAATCAATCAATACAGGCTTGTGCAGATTGAACATACGATTTTGAGTTTTAGGATCAGGTCTCTCAACCCTGAATGTGACACACTCGTTTCTTAACACAGAGAGAGAGAGTGTGTGTGTGTAAGCATGGACAGATAGACAGATATACAATAGATAAACAGACAAATATACAGACATAGATAGATAGATAGATAGATAGATAGATAGATAGATAGATAGATAGATAGATAGATAGATAGATAGATAGATAGATAGATAGATAGATAGATAGATAGATAGATAGATAGATAGATAGATAGATAGATAGATAGATAGATAGATAGATACTGATGTGTCGTAACGTTACCTTCAGGGTGTCCAGCAGCCCGCGGCTCTTGAAGGTCTGGTAAAGTTTCTGTCGCATCTCATCCGGGGATAAACTCTCCTCTTTACTCACAGACATGATGATTACTGAAATTAATAAACACTATCATTCATGATAATCGATCCAACATCGATAATTCTCCACAGTCGGTTCCTCAGCAACGCGACCGCGCGCAGCGTCTCCTTTAAAATCTCTAACTGACAACAAACTCTTGTGCATCCGGTTTCGTTGTTATGACGCGTGACGGATTCAGTCCTCTCATTGGCCGTTTGTGTCAGCGCACCGGAAACAGGAACTCTGTCCACACAGTACGCGGATGGTCCTTATCTGCTGTAGTATTATTCGTCCTATTCGCTTTGTGAATTATGCAATTATTTATTTATTTAAAGAAGATGTGTTATTAGAATGTGCCATTTGATAAGGAATCCAAACTAACGTCATTATTCCCGCGGTAAGATCGTGTTGTGCGTATTCTTCCGTGTTTACATGTCGAGGATTGTCAATAACTGACTGTTGGTTTCATGTCCACAGCTCTAAACACTGACGAGTCACGATGTCAGGGAGTTTTTATTTCGTCATGGTGGGTCATCATGATAATCCAGTGTTTGAGATGGAGTTTCTCCCTCCTGGAAAGACAGAAGCAAAGGTGGGCATGATGACGTCACTGATACCTGACAATTCATGCTACCCATCGAGATTTGCTACTTACCGGTTATGCGCATGTGCAGACTCTTTGACAAGTCAAAGATGAATATTTTATGATCATTTTTACTTTTCACACCGTTTTAAAAATAAAAACAGTAGTCTACATACAGTAGCTACTCATAACTTAGAATTCTATTATAATTGTATTTCATACGACTTTAATCGGCATTCTGTGATCAATTCGCGCTATGGTAGCATTTTTCGACAAGGAAGCAAAAATTGGCAGAACACCGGTGACCGATCGGTTAATGACATCAAAGTAGCGCCAGAGCGATTGCAAAGCATACGGACCCGTCTGCTCTCTGATCGCGGTATTTTGATGTTATTCACCGATCGACTGTGCAGCGATGGCTCAAGTCCAACAAGCCTAACATGATGATGATGTCACTGATACCTGACAACATGATGATGATGTCACTGATACCTGACGTGATGGTCTCATCAAACAGTGAGCTGATGATGACGACGATGTCATCAAACAGTGAGCTGATGATGATGACGATGTCATTAAACAGTGAGCTGATGATGTCATCAAACAGTGAGCTGATGATGACGATGATGTCATCAAACAGTGAGCTGATGATGACGATGATGTCATCAAACAGTGAGCTGATGTCATCAAACAGTGAGCTGATGATGACGACGATGTCATCAAACAGTGAGCTGATGATGTCATCAAACAGTGAGCTGATGATGACGATGTCATCAAACAGTGAGCTGATGATGTCATCAAACAGTGAGCTGATGATGACGATGTCATCAAACAGTGAGCTGATGATGTCATCAAACAGTGAGCTGATGATGACGCTGATGTCACTGAACAGTGAGCTCATGCTGATGTTGCTGATGATGATGATGATGATGCTGGTGTGTGTACTGTACTCCTCCGGCAGGATGATCACCGGCACCTGAACCAGTTCATCGCTCACGCCGCGCTGGATCTGGTGGACGAGAACATGTGGCAGTCCAGCAACATGTACCTGAAGACCGTGGACAAGTTCAACGAGTGGTTCGTCTCCGCCTTCGTCACCGCTGGCCATATCCTCCTCGTCACATGACGCATTACTGAACACACTGGGATGGGCAATGATTAATCGCATCCAAAATAAAAGTTTGTGTTTACATAATATATGTGTGTGTACTGTGTATAATTAATTTGTATATATAAATAGAAATACCCACACATGCATGTATATATTTTAGATATATTTATTCACAATTAATATTATATATAAATATAAATATTTGATATATTAATAACACATTTTTTTTAAAATATATACATGCATGTGTGGGTATTTCTATTTATATATACAAATTAATTATACACAGTACACACACATATATTATGTAAACACAAACTTTTATTTTGGATGCGATTAATCGTTGCCCATCCCGACTCCTAACCCTCCGATCAACGATCACTGTAATGAACCGTGTGTGTGTATTCCTTAACTGTACTCTCACACATATGAGATTTATAATGCTCCACGACGTCCGGCAAGAGGACGGCATCAAGAACTTCTTTAACGATGTTTATGATCTGTACATCAAGGTAAGTCATGCATACTTCACTACCACGTGAACACATCGCACTGGTTTTAACACATTAACATGTGTGTTTTTCCCCAGTTTGCAATGAATCCCTTCTATGAAGCCAACGCGCCGATCCGCTCCACAGCCTTCGACAGGAAAGTGCAGTTCCTCGGGAAGAAGCATCTCCTCGGCTGATCCGCTTCACACACACACACACACACACTCTTCTGTTCATTGTGTTTCAACATTGGGATGTGTATTTCATGTTTATAAGCTGATGGTGTCGGAGTGCTAAAATACATTAAATGATGAAGATTTGTACATTATTAAATGAATTAAAATAAACACTTTCAACGAGTATTGTTCCATACTTTTTAATTTCAATTTTACAATTTACAATGTTAAGATTTTAATGCATTTTTTCAAAGTAGGTGCTTATACTCTCCACATTATTATCCATGGTTTAGTACAAGTACTTAGTATATATTTGGCACACGCTACACAATTTTGTAATGTTAATATATTAGAAATCCACCAGAGAGTATGAACGCCTGCGCACGTTAATATCCGAGTCTCGTTTTCCAGTATAAATATCTGAAAATCCATCAAACTGGAGATGTTTACTAGACAAGCATAACGGCATATGATATATTAAGACTAGTTTCAGTAAATTACACAAACTTTGTCAATGAGGTAAGAAAAATACACATGATCCAACACAGAAGTTCTTCCTCGCATCGTTTTCCAGCACAAACATCCAGAAATCAAGACCCATGTACTGGAGAAGAGTGTATTTTCTGACTCCGCTGGCAGATATATGTTCATGTTTTAAGCTCAAACTCATTCTTGCTACAAATCTTCAGTCATATAGCTTGTTCTCCAGGTAATGCGTCTTGATTTATGAACGTTCAGATGTTTGTACTGGATCAAGTAGATTCCATTTGTTTTAATGAGGTTTCAATATTTTTAAAATGGAAAACAGAAGCCTTGTGCATTCCTTACATTTGCTCTTGTTCACTATCACTCTCATGCTGAACATCCGTCACCCACTCGAACCCCATTAGAGAGATAAATATATATATATATAAACATCCGAATGCTGAGAATCATCACCCAAAATGAAACCAAACCAGTGTTTAGTGCATGTTCAAAACATAACGCGGACTCATTGAAGAAACGCTTCCCGCGGATTAGCAGCACGGCGAGGATCCGCGCGGCTTTCTGTGCAGGTTAACGGTGTCTGTAGGAATCAAGTGCTCGTGTCGATCCTCCAAAGCCAAGACTCGTCTCACGGCTTCCTCGAACGCATCCGCCACATTCGTAGCATCTTTAGCGCTAGTCTCGAAGTACGGGTATCCGCCGCTGTCCCGGCACCACTCCTGAGCTTCTTCGCTCGACACTTGCCTCTCACTCACGTCCACTTTGTTTCCCAGAAGCACGAACGGGAAGCTTTCGGGCTCCTTGACGTCCGCGTAATAGATGAACTCCTTCTTCCAGTTGACGAGGTTGTGGAAGCTCTGGCTGTCGTCGACGCTGAAGGTTAGCAGGCAGCAGTCGGAGCCGCGGTAGAACGGCGTCCGCAGGCTCCGGAAGCGTTCCTGTCCCGCCGTGTCCCAGATCTGAAGCGTGACCGTACGCCCGTCCACCTCCAGGTCCTTGTTGAGGAACTCCACGCCGATGGTGTGGAAGAGGTGCGCGTCGAACTTGTTGGTGACGTAGCGGTTCATTAGCGAACTCTTGCCACGCCGCCGTCGCCCAGGAGAATCACTTTCAGAAGGGAGGATTTGGATGACATGGTTGTTGTCCTCGTCCTGTAAAACTGAAGACTTGGCTTTAATTAAGATTTTTATGTTTTTTAAGGATGCATTTATTTGATCAAAATACAGTAAAAAATTGTGAAATATTATTCGAATTTAAAACAGCTGTTTTTTATGTGAATATATAGTTCAATTTAATATATTTCTGTGATCAAAGCTGATTTAATTGATCAAAAATACAGTAAAATTGTGAAATATTATTCGAATTTAAAAAAGCTGTTTTTTATGTGAATATATAGTTAAATTTAATATAGTCCTGTGATCAAAGCTGAATTAATTTGATCAAAAATACAGTAAAAATTTGTGAAATATTATTTAAATTTAAAACAGCTGTTTTCTAAGTGAATATATACTCAAATTTAATATATTCATGTGATTAAAGCTGAATTTATTTGATCAAAAATACAGTAAAAATTGTGAAATATTATTAAAATTTAAAACAGCTGTTTTCTATGTGAGTATGTAGTAAAAGTTGATTTATTCCTCTGATCAAAGCTGGATTTATTTGATCAAAAATACAGTAAAAATGTGAAATATTATTCAAATTTAAAATAGCTATTTTCTATGTGAATATATACTCAAATTTAATATATTCCTGTGATCAAATGCTGGATTTATTTGATCAAAATACAGTAAAAAATTGTGAAATATTATTTCAAATTTAAAACAGCTGTTTCTATGTTAAATATATAGTCAAATTTAATAATAAGTCCTGTGATCAAAGCTGGATTTATTTGATCAAAAAATACAGTAAAAATTGTGAAAATATTATTTGAATTTAAAACAGCTGTTTTCTATGTGAATATGGTAGTAAAAGTTGATTTATTCCTCTGATCAAAAGATGGATTTATTTGATCAAAAATATAGGTAAAAATGTTGAAATATTATATCAATGTAAAACAGCTGATTTTTATAATTATATCAATGTTGAAAACAGTTGATATTTTTGTGGAAACCGTCATTTATATTTATATTATAAGATATATATTTCAAATAAATGTTGAACTTTCTATTCATCAAAGAATCCTGAAAAAATAAACTTTGACATTTCCACACACAAAAAAAAAAAAAAACATTTTCAACACTGATAATAATCATAAATGTTTGTTGGACCATCAGATCCTCATATTAGAGTGATTTCTGAAGGTCATCGTGACACTGAAGACTGGAGTAATGATGATATAAATTCAGCTTTGATCACAGGAATAAATTACACTTTACTATATATTCACATAGAGACAGATGATTTTACACTGGAAATAATATTTCACATTTTTACTGTAAATTTTGCACATATACTCAATTATTGGAGGTTTAGCGTTATGAAATGTGTCGCTTACCTTCACTGCCTCGAATAAATTCATCGCTCAAAATCTACAAGAGAGAGTTGCTGAATTAGGATATGACCCAGGTACTGGACTGACAGGAAACTACGCTCTATGCAAGTGGAATTTTAATGTTGGTGTTGTTTGCATAAATTGATTCAACACTTTACAGTAATTCATGCAGAAGATGCTTTCAGAAATATTTCATTTCATTATTATTCATCATGCATGTTGTAGTGCAGTGATAATTTACTTAAAAAGTAGTATTGGCCGATCTTTACAACTGTGATATATTATCCTCTGATATGCATTATGATTATTGCTATGAATGATCATCATTATGAGTGTAAATGAGCGCAGACTCACAGTGGTTTGCTCTCAGCGCTGGTCATGTGATCTTCTCTGTCCTGCATCACATGCAACACAGACAAACTTT